AACCCCCCCCCCTGCTCCCATTCCCTGCCATATCATAAGATAACGTATACATGCAGTGCCCCAGCCATTATATACTTATTACATATACTACATCAACACGATATTGCTCATGTTGTTTGACTGACATGCCCCTCTTAAGTAGGTACCTTAAGTAGGTACTTAACATCTCTTCTTGAAAGAACAGCCTACTGGGATCCCGATTTCAGATTGTCTTATTTCCTCCTGGGCTCTAATGCATACATTGTGGGCAGGTCTGCTAAATCCATAGTTAAGGCAGTTGAGCTAAGAACTCATGATATCCTGTAAAAGTGATCTATTTATCTGAATGTTTGTTCTTACACATACGTGTATTGCTCACGTTGTTTGACTGACATGCCCCTCTTAAGTAGGTACCTTAAGTAGGTACTTAACATCTCTTCTTGAAAGAACAGCCTACTGGGATCCCGATTTCAGATTGTCTATTTTATCCTAGAACTATGTAGAGTCTTTATTGACTTTTTTAAAACTACGGTCAATAAATTATCAAGCAATCAAGCTATTGAGGAAGGAGGTGTAGATTGAACAAAGGGAAGGTTTCTTGTGAGTTTCAGGAACCAGAGGACTTCTGCATCTAAAGACAAAGGGAAATATCTTGGCTTCTTCCAGAGTATGATATGGAAAGCTACTAAGAGCTTTTTTATCAAGGCTGTGGTCTTGCACAAGGGCCTATACAGTCATGCCACCAGCTGATAAAAATCTATGGAAGATCACAGCAAGATGTTGCTATGAAGAATAGCTAGAGGGGGGCGTGGAGCTTCAAAGACCAACAATGCCACACACAGTCTTTAAAAAAACTGCATTTTAAAAATATTCAAGTTTTAAAATCCTTTATTCTGGGTGTTCAGACTTCAAAATTTAAAATGCACATCTTTCTGGTGAAATATTTCTTTTTATGGATTAATTGGGATAGTCGGCTTCAAGTTTGAGAGATTACATTCATGAATTCTGCATTTCTTAAATGCTGAATTCCAAAGCCGATTTGCTGAATCTGTGCCTTGAGATCTGAGCTCGGCTTCTGAATCCAACATTTAAGAAATGCAGAACTTGAGAAATTTGAACTCCAAGCTAAAAGATGAACTATCCCAATTTGGTCCAAGAATCCTTAAAAGCAAGTATTTTATTATAAAAATGTGCTGTTTCAATTTTAAAAAATAGCGTGAGGATGTCAAACATGACTAATTAAAAGTGCCAATTTGAATGTATAGTTTATAATCTTTTTTTAAAAAAAATCACCTTAGAATGGCACCAGATACGGGAAGTTCACATCTAACCACCTCCTTAAAGAATATAATTCTTGTGCGGTCAACATTTCCTAAAAGCCAGCTAACATGCAATAAAATATATGAGACTTATATACTCCCTTATGGCTATTAGATGATACCATTCTAATGGCAGAAAGTGAAGAGGAACTAAAGAGCCTCTTGATGCGGGTGAAGAAGGAAACTAATCATGGCATCCGGCGCGTGCAAATTCCTGGCAAATAGATGGGGAAGAAATGGAGGTAGTGACAGATTTTATTTTCCAGGGCTCCAAGATCACCGCAGATGGGGACTGCAGCCAAGAAATTCAAAGACGCTTGCTCCTGGGGAGGAAAGCTATGGCAAATCTAGACAGCATACTAAAAAGCAGAGACATCATCCTGCCAGCAAAAGTGTGGATAGTGAAGGGTATGGGTATCCCAGTTGCAATGGATGGCTGTGAAAGTTGGACCATAAGGAAGGCTGAGCGCCAAAGAATGGAGGCCGTTGAACTCTGGTGATGGAGAAGACTCCTGCGAG